TTTCCTTTCTTTTATTGTTTAATTTTTACTTCAGATTCGTTCTTCTCTGAAAATAATTTCTAGGCATTTTATTTTTGTTCTTTCTGCCTTGTGGGCACTAAGATGGTCTATTTTATATATATATATATATTTATAACCATAGTTCAGTTCGGCTCATAATAGGTTTAACCAGGCGGTGAGGGACAGGGCCGAATATGCTCAGGATGGACTTCCCTTGAAAAATTCCATGATTTCTATACTTCAAAGCACAGAAAAGAATGCTATAAATTTAAGACGTCCTAATTTTAAATTCAGAAACATGAAAAAATATATTTTGAATTTAATTAAAGCAATATGAAATTGTAAATTGTACGTGATTTGTAAAGTATTGCTATAATTTACTTTCTAAGTTTTTCCATATTCTTGATCTAGAGAAATCTTTCTAGTGTCAAATTCCTTTGGTTGATTTGATATATGATTATTTCCTTCTTTATTAATATAATAGTTTATATTTCAGTCATAAAGAATACTAAGATAACGTATGAAATTTAAAAATCCGATACACAATCTTAATTTATAAATACGTGGCTTATCTTATNAAATCTTAATTTGAATATTTTTTAAAATTAAATTTACTGTTTAAAGTGTGTTCTTACAGTAATAAATATTTTAATAAGTCAGCATTAAACTTGGCCCCCTCTTGTTAATATCTTTAAGATGTTAAGATGATAAATATATTTATGAAGTTTGCAATTTTAATTATCATTGGTTACTACTCTACCAGCTGGGGATGCATCAAGTGTCCTCGTCCTGTAATTTTAATTTTTTATCAAAAAATTGTTCCTATTTATTTTTCTCTATTCAATTGTAAGTTCTTTACTATAGAAGACAAGTCATTTATACTTTCACAGTTGTATACAGTAGACCCCCCTATAACATGGTAGATACATTCCGTGTTATATGAATTCTGTGTTGTATGAGTCACTTAAATACATGAGCCAATCACAGCCTGGCACGTGTGCAGTTTAGTGGCTATGGCTGTTTGAAAGGTTTTCTTTCATAAAATTAATCAATTCTAGACTAATTTGACTCAACATTTCCAAAACACGTATAATTTTTGGGAATAATCCATATAAACTATGCTATAAACAAAAAATTGTAGGATTACGTACTTAGTGTGCACCATTCGACGATGCCATTGTTTAAGCTTGTTTTCGTCGTAGAGCGGCGCATCAAACAGCGGGTGCATGTTTCCTGATAAATTATTTTTCTGCGAAAAATTTGCTGAACTTTAGAGACATCATTAATATAAATATAATTTTTATGGCCATTGAATAATAAATGATTTTAGTAGGTCCACTGCTCATTTAAACTCAATGGTTTGTGCAATGTCCACTATCGGTCCAGATTGAACCAATCCTGTCGAGACACGAGTCTGCCATGACAATCTGTCTCATTCTTTTACTGTGTTATATGAGCCTCTTTTAGCCTGTTATCCAAACACAATTGCAATTTTTCCACCATGTTATACGAACCCGTGTTATAGGGGGATCTACTGTGTACAGTGTATAAATACAGTAATGTTCTGTAATGCTCCTTAGTTCTTTACAATTTACACATTTGTACAAAGCATATGATCTAGTATTTCTGCCTTGACCTTTATTTTTTATTAATTCGTTCTCAAAAAAGATTTTTGTGAAAAACAATAACATTCACTTCTCTTGATCTCTGCTGAAAGCAGTCTATCAACTTCAATTACTCTACCTTTTCATAGTAATATATTTTTAGAAACTTTGATTTACTTTTTGTGCCAGTATAGGAGTATATTCATTAATTAAAATTGTAGAAGAAATTTAGCATGTTAAAGCTAAATATAAAAAAGTAATAAATTTCTAAAAATGATCTCACATCACTGTTGCTTTCTACCTTGAATGGTTCATTCCAAATCATGTATGTGTTCTTCAATGTAAAATTTTTTTTAATAAAACCACTGAACACTGGTAGTTGATAGGTTTGCGCCTGACTAACAAGCTGGATGCTTGAAACTTTCTAGGTTTTATTCATGTGTCTAATGTCTAAATAGGTGTTAGTTCTCTTAGAAGGCACCTCCTACTTAGATTGCATTGCCTTATTCCATCAATCAAATCTGAAGAAATAATAGAAGAGTTTACTTTTTAGAATTCAAAAAGTAAACTCTTTCTTCAGAGAGGTTAATCATAACAGAGAGGTTAATCATAAATACAAACTGTTATTGCAAGGAAAACTGCAATAACAGTTTGTATTTATGATTAACCTGATCTCAAAAATTCCATCTCAATAATCTTGTTACGGTTTCCAGTCACAATAATTTCCCAAATACAGTGAAATGTTGGTATAACAAATGCCAGTTTAACGAAATTTTCATTACAGCGAATATATCTTGAATCTCTTGCTAATTTCCTATTCAGCTTACTGCAAAAATGTTTGTTTAACGAATACCATTATAACGAAAATTTCAGTAATGTCATAATAATCATTCTATCCATAACAAAAGAATAGTTTCATTATAATGAATATTATGTCAGTCTGAGTCTGACAACACTAATTTTAATCCTTAGTTGTGGCAGAATCTATAGATATATTTATCAATTCTGGTTATGGTTTTATTTTGATGCTAATACTCTACAGTTTATTTCTTTTTAAATTTATGAGAAAAAATGGAGAAAAACAAAAAAAATTAAAGCAGTTTTCTTTGAAAGAGAATAATAAAATATTAGATAAAGTGAAAAAAGGAATTAAACAAAAAGGTGTCCCTGATGGCCTACTGGAACTGTGTCACAGTAGAGGATTTTATCGAAAAGAGCTTTGATTAAAGAAACAACACACGCAAAAATTAGACTTCTTTTAGCAGAAAATAATGGTTTCAAGCAGAAATAACAATTAGCGAGGCAGGATTCCAACTAATCAGTGCTACTGTATCGTTATTTTAGTTGTTTTCCTGTGATATTTTTTGATAATTTTTTTTATTATACACGAAAATTAACTTCTTTTACCAGAAAATAATGGCTTCAAGCAAAAATAACAATTAAAAAGGCAGGATTCAAACTAATCTGTACTATTATATTGTTATTTTAGTTGTTTGCTCATGATATTTTTTGATAATTTTTTTTATTACAGATCAATTTTTATTCTAATTTAATATAACTTACATTTTGAAAATTTGGTTCCATATAAATACTAACAGCTTTCTTACCTCAAAATGTAAGCAATTTTTTTTATCATCAATAAATTTCATCCTTACATTTTTGACTATTTTAATATAACAAAATTATTTCAATGGTCCCTTCAATTTCATTTTACCAACATTTTACTGTATAGACTAAATACTGAAACTATGATTTCTACATTGAAATTAAACTAAATGGTAAGTGTATTCTGTTTAATTTTTAAAATATATTAATTATATGATGATTTCTTTTACCTGAATACATTTTGATGTAAATGGTTCCCAACGTTCTGATTTTTTTCATTGATTATTCATTATATTAAAATTCAATTGATACTAAATTAGAATTTTTTTGCAGATGGTGGTTTAAATTTTGAAAAAATTCAAAATTTAAGTGTGTAAGCATACACAGAAAATGAATGGGAGAGAACTAAAAATGAGACTTGTATAGTGTACTGTATTTGTCTTTGGTGGGTTTTCAGAAAAATTGTGTTGACATATGATTGCCTGTTATGCATAAAGTACTTTTCATGTTTCTAAAGATTCTCTTGGTTAGAATGAATCTGTAATTAAAGTTAACCTTTAGTGCATAGCCCACACTTGCTTTTAAATTCATTTTTAATTGCAGATAACACATGGATTATCTACATCTTAATTGGATAATAAACATAATTTCAATAGAAAAACTTTGTTTGCTCTTCCTAATACTATAGTTAATAATTGTGGAATTAACCATGTATCTTTAGTAAAAATGTTGTTATTGTTACTACTGAGCAAAATATTTTGCTCAGTAGTTATATTAAAGTTTGTAATGATGAAATAGAAAACTTCCTTTTACAGTTTGTTGCTATCAACTTTAGCTGATTAGCTAGTGTTGATAGTTTCCTTTGTATTATATTTATTTAAATTAAATGTAAATATTTAGTATTATTTTAAATAAATGTTTAATTTTTTCACTAAAAAGTTGAATATTAGTCAATACATTTTTGATATAAACAATATCAAATATTTAAAAAAAATTTACTACATATTTTAAAACTATTTCATGCAATTGATTTAGAAAAGCATTTGCCACAATGCTGGGTTGCAATTTTTAATATTTTTAATTAATTTAATTTAAAATATATATACTTTCCACCTCCCCTGTACATCATACTTTTCCTGTTAGCAATAGAGTGGCAGTCATCTATCTAATTTCTTTCAGGGGAAAATTTTTGAATTGAAATAACATGACTTCCAGTTTGCATCAGAAGTTTGTATATATTCAATAGTTAATTGGGACTTCATGCCCCTAAATTTCCATATCTGGTCTTGGCTTTCATCTATCTAACACCATTCTGAAGATTAAGAAGAAAGGGCAGACAGATGGACAACAGTGGAAACTTTTAGGTCTACAATTTTTCCAAATTGCAGCCCAATAAGTATATAGGAATGTAGTAAATTTTGTGAAGATATTTGATAGTGTATGTACTGTACACATGGCATCACTCCTTTTGTTTCATAAGGAAGTCATTTTCATTTTAAGTGATTTCAAAAACATTTTACAAATTGCATTAAAGCTAGTGTTTTACAGAATTATTCCCCAACACACTGTAAAACATATAGCCCAACTTTTCTGTGGAACTCGTACCACTTCACTATCCAGGAATGTGCTGTGCTGGACAAATAACATATAGTGTGAACTGTGTGTACATAAACCTAAGCCCAAAATAACTTAGTAGTTATCTTCTATGAAGAAAATCATAATCAAATTAATAAAATAATTCTGCATTTTAACTTACATGAGTATATGCATAAATAATTTGAAAAATATTGCTTATAAAAAACAATTTACATTTATTGACAATAAAACTATACAATGGATAAATTTAAAGATATGAATATGATGATTATTTTACTAATTTTTTCATGGATGAATTTTTTTATAAATAAAAAAATAGTTTGGTATTTTCAAGTTGGAATAGATAACTGATTTGCAGTCATTACTAATATCTCTTCTGTTTTTTTCCTCCAATTTGCAATATCTTTAGAAATTTGACACCAATGTTCTCCATGGTGAGGTTCTGCATTAACACACCTTTTTTTGACATCCTCTTGTTGCTCCTAATAATAGTAATGGACATAGTATTATTAATTTGATAAATTTATGAAAAAAAGATATTCTAAAAAATGTTTACTAGAACCTTAAATAAAGTAAGGACTTGTTACCTCAAGGAGGAGGTCACACAATCATTTTTTAGAAAAACGATTGCCTGTCCTCTAGTTTTTGTGTGTTCCTTCTAATTGATGTAACAAGTCTTTACTTTATTTAGAGTACTTAATTGCTTGTCCTTATTTTAAGATTATAAAAAATAATTTATGAATTAAAAAATTTACAAACCTCTGTACCATGAAGTAATTCAAATTTATAATAATAAGCCCAAGCATCTCCTAAATCGGGATCAATTTTAACAGTTCGATTAAACCATTCTCTTGCTTTATTCATTTTTCTTTCAGTCCAAAACAATCTAAAATTTTCAAAAATATTTTAATATTTGCTTTTTTATAATGTAATAATTAAAATGACTTACTTAGAAACAGCAAGAAGAACATGAGGATCATGTTCGCAACGTTTCAGTGCGTCAACACTCTTCGTCTTACGCTGAGGTCGTGCTTCCATAAAAATGGCTTCTGCCCAAAGAATCCCGCTATTGGGGCAATCCTGCATAGCTGAAATATATTTTTTTTTTGTTTGTTTTTTGACTCAATTTTTAACAGTTCTTATTTTTCTTAATTTTTTTTTCGTTTCTTAATTTTATTAATTACCTTTTGCTATTAAAGTCAAAGCAATATCTTTTAGTCCACCACGAAGTTCTACTCTCACAGCTTCTAACCACAATTCGGCACATTTTGGATTTCGTAACCGAGCTTTTTCTAAGACTGATCGTGCTTTAATGAGTGCACCTCCTTTCTCTTCAAGTTGCGACAGAAGTAACCAAACAGGAATAGAAGTTGGACATTTTTTCAACTGCAATGACAAAATAAAATTAAATTTTTAATAGATTTCTAATAGATTTCTAATATAAAGAAATTTAAAATATTATTTATCCATTTATTTACCCCTAGATTGTATGCTTCACGAGCTTCATCAATCTTGTTTTCTTGTTCCAATATTTGGCCTTTCATCATCCATAGTTTTGCAAAGTCAGGATACAGTTTTAATCCTTCTTCAAGTAGATTTTTTGCTTCTATTAAATCTCCCAAAGCCCATTCTAATTTCACAGATTTCATCATAACCTTTATTAAAAAGTTTAAATCAAAATTATTTAAAAGTTCTTTTCTTCATCTTATATTTTAAAGAATTATCTTAACAATATATTACCCTGGCTGTTGGAGCACTAGCTCTAGCTTTGGCTAGAAGTCGTCTAGCTCTTTCATACTCATTATTTTCACTTTCTAATTTGACTGCAGCTAACCAAATTTCTTCACTGTTGGGATTAGCTTGAAAGGCCAATGACAGAATGCTTCTTGCAGCAGGTACATCATTCTAAAAATTTATAATTATTATTTTAGCTCTTGATAATACAGATTAATTTACTGACTTAAATTATCTACATTAGAATCAGAATGTTAATTTTCTACTGAATAATAAAATTTTGATGTGGATATTTTGCAATTATAGATTATTTCTGTAGCCAAATACTAAATGAGCATTTTAAAAATTCTATTAGAAAAGTTTTTATCATAAGATCTAGAAAATTCCAGAAACTTTCGTATCAGCTCAATATTAACTTTAAATTTTTTATGAGAAGAAATATGTAAAATATAAAATTGTATCCCCAAAAATGAATTGACTATATTAGAATGTTTTATGTTTGCCATTTCATGANATATAAGTATTATTTTTAATGAAATCTCGTAACATATACGTCACATTCAACTTCAACTTAGTAAATTACAAGTGCCGGGAAGTCGTCTTATTTTTAGTTTCGTTAGCTACAACATTACGGAATGTCTTGAAAATTGATTCGATCGACTAATTTTGGAAACAGTGAGTTGCTGTTTTTTATTCACTGAATCTGATAATGAGCTGTTTGCATACAAGTCTTATAATTGATACAAATTTATTATTGTTGTTAAGCTTCATACTTCATTTATTAGAAACTTATGACGATCATAGGATTTGTAAAAAGCAGCGGAGCGAGATAACTCAGGAAAGGTAGGGAAGGGTTAACCAGTAGTTGCTTTATTTTTTTTAAATCCCACTGTTAAAGATAATTCAATTATGAGTACTGTAGTGTGAACAAAATTTAAAGTGGATTCCTTATAGCAGTAGACAGATTCTGGCTAACCATAAACATTAAGAATTAATAACGAATTTGTAAGCTTATCCTCATTACAAGGATATTTGTAAAATTTTTTGTAGTTTAGATATTATTGAACCAATTCAAAATACATGAAGCAAGTCCTCACCTAACTTTTTTTTCGTTATAATGTTGTTGAGAAAAGATACATTTGTAATCATAAGAAAAATATTTTAAGTGCTGAATTTATTGTTTTATGTTAAAATTAATTTATGTTCGTTAAAATTTGATTAAGAGAAAACTCTCCCTTGTTAGTACTTATTTCATTTATTTCACTTTACTAAACATCATAAAATCCTCCATTCTTGGCTGACGTAGCATAGTGCTTATGCAAATGAATTATGTCATACAATGCAGTTCATTTACCGAAACCATTCTTATCAGAAAGTACATTACTGTTACAATGGTAATTTCATTGTTCTGTGAATTTCTGTATTTGAAAGTTATATTAAAATTCTTCCACCAGTTATAATTACTGAAAACATTCATATTATTAAACTCGACCAAACGAATGCCTTAATTAATCAGGCTATAAAGGCTGATATATAAGGCATTTGTTTGGTTGTGTATCGATGTATCTGGCTTCGGGAAGTTTATTATATACACATAATTAAAGTATGTATTTTATTTAAAGTTGCCTTAAACTGAGATGATATCACACATTAAGGAAGGATGTGATAAACTTGGCGAGAATAACATTTTTAGTAATAAAAAATGACTACTTCAATAATTATTTCCTGATTTTTTTTCCATTTATTTATTTCATTGTTCCTTATCTTAATAAATAGAATATTTTCATAACAATTACATGTATAATGCAATATATATTTTGCATAATACTGTATTTATGGTACATGTCTCACTGAATTTTACTTTTCAAATGGAGGAAATGTGTTATAATTTTTTTGTTTCTCTAAATAGGAAATGTAGATCGACATACAATTTTATGTACTGTAATTGTGGCTCACCAGTGACCAGGTGAAGAAAATTACTAAACACTAGTAGCTAGTTGTGGGTTCATGCCTGACTAAAGGGCACGAATCCATGAGTTTCCTGAAGTTTTCTTCATGTGTGTAACATCTAAATAGGGGCCAGTTTACCATAGAATATCTTCCTGGGAGGTATTCCCCCTTAGCTGATCTCTCCTGTGTCATGTTGCCTTATTCCATGAAATTAAACTTATTAGTATAGTTATAAAAGTTTCTTTTTATTAATATGACTTATTTAAGTATATGATTTATTTTCTTTTCCAGCATTTTTTAAAGAGAGGATATTCATTCTGTAACATGTAATTGCATAACTTATTTAGTAACGTATTGCAAAAATTAGATTATTGTCCGATAATGTGTATTGTCGACTCATTCTCATTATTTTTTTAATAATTATTCTTACAGCGGACATAATATCGTGCGTAGAATTTAACTGTGATGGAGAACTTCTAGCTACGGGAGACAAGGGAGGACGTGTAGTAATTTTTCAACGTGATCCCTTAGTAAGTTTGATTGTTTTTTAAAAATTATTCAAATGAATAAATTCTATATAAATAATTAACTTTAGATTCTGTTTGTACTTGATTATTGTACTGTGATGTGTATTGATGTATATTAACATATTACTGTTGTTTGTAGTAGATGTTATCTATATTGAATATTTTCACAAATATTATTATTTACTGTAGCAAATTGGTTATACAGCTTTAATGAATATTTGCTTACGAAAGATAAAATATAGCAACCAAAATAAATTGTTACTATATACTGTCCACTAGAACAGTGGATCTCAAAGTGTGGTTCGTGGACTATGTGTGTGATAGGTGGTCTACAGTCTAACTTAGTCATTCTATGCTGTTTAGCCAGAAAAAAAGAACACTTTTATGCACCATATATCTGTTACGTTAGGTTACTGGATAGATAACAATAGACAAAACATTTTGGCACACAATCTAAGGTGATATTTACAGGATAAGAGTGAATAGGGGCATATGTGGTATGCAGTTCGTCTGCAATTTGGTTTAATGGCCTGTGGATAAATAACTTTGAAAACCACTACACTTGAGAATGAGTTATGTTGTTACCAAAAACAAAACATAAGAGAGATTGTTAAATATATGAAAATAACATTTTTACTATAGATAACATTTATAAAAGATGTTAACTTAAAAAGATTTTCATGCTTATATATATAGTTTAAATTATAATATGTTGGATAACAATATATCGATTTTATTGTATGTACACAGTCGAAACTCTCGGTGCCCAGAAGAGGTGAATATAATGTTTATAGTACATTCCAAAGCCACGAACCAGAGTTTGATTATCTGAAGAGTCTAGAAATAGAAGAGAAGATAAATAAAATAAGATGGTTAAAAAGAAAAAATCCTGCTCACTTCTTATTATCTACCAATGGTAATTAATAATTTTCTATCTAATAATAATTAATGTTGTAATATATATATATATATATATATATTTATTTATTTATTTATTTTGTTTATAGATAAAACCATCAAATTGTGGAAAATATCAGAGAGGGATAAAAGAATAGATGGAACAAATTTAAAGGACGAATCTGGTTTATTACGTGATCCAACATCGATTACGACGTTACGGGTACCTGTCGTTCGACCGATGGAACTGATGGTAGAAGCTAGTCCAAGGAAAATATTTGCCAATGCCCATACTTATCATATTAATTCGATTTCGGTTAATAGTGACCAAGAAACTTACCTGTCGGCGGACGACTTAAGGATTAACCTTTGGCATCTAGAGATAACTGATCAAAGTTTCAGTATCCTTTTATTATTATCTTATTTTTTTATTTTTATTAATGCAATTGTATTATGTGAATTCATTAACTAAAATAATAGATATTGTCGATATAAAACCGGCAAATATGGAAGAGCTGACTGAAGTTATTACTGCAGCGGAATTCCATCCATTACACTGCAATGTCTTTATTTATAGTAGTAGTAAAGGAACGATAAGGTTGTGTGATATGCGTGCATCTGCACTTTGTGACCAACATGCCAAAAGTAAGTGTTAGCGATTCGTTTAATATTTTGCTCTCCTATAATAGTAATAACACAAGCATAATTTTAGTATTTGAAGAGCCGGAGGATCCGACGAGCAGGAGTTTCTTTTCCGAAATAATATCTAGTATATCCGATGTTAAATTCAGCAACAGTGGACGCTACATGATATCTAGAGACTATTTATCTATTAAAGTTTGGGATTTGCACATGGATAACAAACCAGTCGAGTGCTTCCACGTACACGAATATCTTCGCTCAAAGCTCTGTACGCTCTATGAGAATGACTGCATCTTTGACAAATTTGAGTGTTGCTGGAATGGCGTAGATAAGTAAGTGAAAATATGTTTGTTTTTTTTTTTCTTTTTGTCTACATGAAATTGGGTTTAAAATATTTCTTCACTTGTAGCTACGTCATGACGGGATCTTATAACAATTTCTTTCGTGTATTTGATCGTTATTCTAAACGAGACATCACTCTTGAAGCATCTAAAGACATAGCCAAACCCAAAACAGTATTAAGGCCAAGAAAAGTGGGTAGATTCTGTAAATTTCAAATAAATCTTTCCCGCTTTCATTCTTTAATCTCTTCGCAATGTATTTTTTCCTCGTTAGGTATATACTGGTGGAAGAAGAAAGAAAGATGACATTAGCGTAGACTGCCTAGACTTTAACAGGAAAATACTTCACACAGCATGGCATCCTCAAGAAAACATCGTGGCCGTTGCTGCAACTAACAATCTTTATATTTTCCAAGAAAAATTTTAATTATTAAGGAAAACATAGATAATATTTTTAAATTCGTATAAACTGATCATTTAAAAATAAAATTCTATGTATTATTTTTAATTCATCCACAGCTTCCTTGCTGCAGGCAGCATTCGTTCTTTCGCGACATAATTGGGCCAGAACAGATAGATCAAACGAATCTTAGGTGCCTTTGGCGGCTAATCAGACAGTTCCTATGCCTGCTGCTTGGTGTACGACCATTTAATTTCGAATGAGCGAATCATTTAGGCTGCTTTAAACACCGAGCAGTGTTAAATGGATGTGAAGTAAATTTGTTTCCATTCGAGATCTTATCATTTAATAATAAAAGAAAAAAACAGGTTCATCCATTCAGATTTGTTGTATAAATGTAAATAACTTTCAGGGTATATGTCACATATAATCACAAAAAATCAAAATTGAGTTTGTAAAATATCATTTTCATTATAAAATCATTCCATTTTACGCAATTTACTTTCATTTTATTTTTTATTTTTATTTTTTCTCCTCGATACACCCTCCTACATC